GGTTGCTTTTCTGTTCAGAGAGTTGTTGCTCTTCTTTTCTTCAATCTCCTGTTGAGTTTGTAGGTGTTCCGAATGGTTTGATCCCTATCCAGCTGAATTCCTGAGAGGAGACGAAATCCAGGTCTCCTATTCTTCCGCCATCTTGCTCCGCCTCCATAGCTGATAATTTTTAAAACAGCTTTATTGAGGCATAATTGATATACAATAAAGTGCACATATTTAAAGTATGCAATTTGATATATTTTGACATTTGACTATACCAATGAAGTCATCACTGCCAAAAGTTTCCTCATGCCCCTTTGAAATTCCTCTCTTCTCTTTCTCTCTATTCCCCACCTCCACTCCCCACTCCTGGTCCCAAGTAACCACTGATCTGTCACTATGAATTGCATTTTTTAGAATTTTATATAAATGGTATCATACAGTATTTTGCATGGCTTCCTTCACTCTGCAGTTATTTTGGTACTCATCCATGTTTTTGTGTGCAGCAATATCCATTCTTTTTTATTGTTGGGTAGTAACATATATATATTTATATCTATACACATATAGATATATAGATATAGGTAGATAAACATAAATAGATAAAAATATATAGATATACCATAATTTATTTTCATCTGTTGATGGACATTTGGATTATTTGCCATTTGCGGCTATTACAAATAAAATTGCTATGGATATTCATATACATGTCCTCTTATGGGCATATATTTCCTTTTCTCTTGAGTAAATGTGTAGAAGTGGATCACATATCAGGAATATGTTTAACTGTTCAAGAAAACTGCCAAACTCTTTCTCAAAGTTGTTGTATCATTCCTAGTTGATATTCCTCAAACATAATGTTACCTTTGCCCTAAGTCATCTCTTTGGTCAGGATTGTTTAACAGGTAGGGTGTTCTAAACATTCCTGAAATGTCTGCATATTTAGCTTTCTGCTATTATTGGGTTACTATTGTTTTCCACTGACATTTATTATGAGATATGAAATTACTAAGAGACACTCTAGCAAATCCACTAATGTCCAGAATCTAAGAACGAGGCTCTGAGTTTCTACCTATCCCCATTGTGTGAAGCAACCCAATTTACCCCTAACAATCAGCGTTAATCACCCAGCAAGAAATAATCACTCTTCCCTGACTATTGGAGCAATGTTAGGAGGATCCAAAAAGAGCTCCAATCCAATGGAACGAGTGTTGTGTTCCCTGGTGGAAATAATCCTCCTTTGGGAACCAAGACCTCTGAATGCGGAGAGGGATAGGAAACGAAAATTCTCTAAATGTGCCACTATGTGTTAATAATGACAGGGTCTACTCCTACTTATACTTGGTACCAAGACTTGTAAATTCTACCCATGAGAGAAAAAGTGTCATGTACTGGTCACTTTTCAAAGCAAATGCTGTATGCTGTAGGAGAGCAACTTAATCTCACATAATGCTGTCTCTTACCTAGTGCTGACACTGAATCTTCAATTGATGTCCACCATTCTATCAGGGTATCTGCTTCTGAAAGCAAAGATATAAGAAGAAAACTAATGAATTTTACGGGCACTTTTCTTGATGTAAAATAATTTCCTCAGTCAAGAGCAATGTTGTATGGGATACTAGCCTATCATGATAAGTAAGGTACTAAGTCCATGATAGTAGTGCATGCCAAATATTTTAGGCATGTAAAACAACTATAAAGCAATTGGGATATTTTCTAGTAGGTACAGATTGCTGCCCCTAACCTATAATGGAAAAGGAGTGAAAAATAATCAAACTGTTACCAGATGGATAGCTTGACCCCTGGTGATGTAATAGTACCAAGTTAGGGGCTCAGGATTGGCCTTTGTTATTGATTCATTAAGTATTTAGGAACCAGGTAGCCATATAAACTTTAATGAGGGGAAGTGCAGGTTTTTGCATCCATGTAAAGCTTCCTTTCCCACCATCAGAGGCCAGTTTGTGGAGCAAGCAACAGTGTGGTTAAGAGGACAGACTGACATCTACAGAAACTGTCATCATATCCACTTGATTATTACAAGATACCTCTCCATGGATATCCTTTGAGGATTATTCACATGGAATATACATATGCTCACACTATTACATGGAGTCTTTCTACATATCTTCTCCCAAACCTCCTTGTTGATAATCTTCTAATCATGTTTGTTCTGAGTTCCTGAATAACAAGCCAAATCATTAGCCATTGCTAAGATGAAAATGTAGATCCATACCTCAAGACACATCTATTTACAAGCAAAAGAGATAACCAGATGAAGTTCATCCCACTGATGGGATTTTCTTTGGCAACTCTCTTTAGGGGCTACCTCAGTAGTTTTATAATGCAGCAACAATGATTTTTGGCTGGTTCCAGCAAATTTTATAGACTCATCTGTAAACCAGCTTTGAATTTTTTTTTTTTTTTTTTTTGTCTTCATCAACTGGTAATAGATCTGGAAGCAATAAGATATGCTTCTGGTGAGTCCTAAGGAAAATGCACATCTTCTTTCAAAGCAAGTTTTTCAGGTGAATAAATAATAAGCTCTTTTGTCAGAGAAGACTACCTTCATCAGATATAATTGTATCTGCTGGTAATGAAACTTTGGGGATATGTTGTGTTCATGGTTCTCAAATTCAACTGCATCTGCTCAAATATCCCCTCCACACTCTTAGTGATCTACCATTTAAAATTAATGCGTTAATGATAACATAATAGATTGGTGAGCTTGTATTTTCAACTTGCATGGTAACTCTGCAAATTATACATGGTTCTGATCCTCAAACTTGATTTCCCTTCTGATATAAAAAACTCTAAGAATTGCTATAGCAGCTTTTTGAATCTCTGGCCATGCCCCTTCAGCTAAGAATTTAAAGCTCTAAGCTTATCATTTTCTTTTTGTAAGCAGTCCAGCACAATCTAAAACAGCCATCTCATTTTTGTAGTTAAATGAAATAGCTACTTGTTTTCCCAAAGCCTAGCTTTCAATTGGCACATCACTGCAAACAAACCAGGTTATAATTTAAGTAATTGCAATGCCACTTGATGAGATAGATTAATTATAGTATCCCATTTTCCACCTGAAAGAAGTTTTGCACTGTGTTCAAGCTAAAAGAAGCAAGCAATCTAAGCTCAGAATTTGTTCTTGAGAATTTGTTTCCTGGGACTAATCCCGATATTAAAAAAAATTGTATCAGTCAAGGTCCACCCAGGAAAATATAAATCAATTTAAGTATTTCAAATAAAAGAAATTTAATACAGGCAAATGGTTGCACATGTGTTGGCAGAGGTAAGAAACTTAATAGGAGATCATGAAGCAACCCACAGATTAGCAACAGCAGGAAAGTCAGTGTCACCCCACAGGGACAGAGAAAGCAGAAGTGATTTTACTGAAATAGTTCTCGAGCAAGCCAGAAGGGGCACAATTCAATGTTTTATGTAATAGGGATATCTCCATTATAATGAAGAAGGACAAGGTAGATGCAAATGTATGTTTGATATTGGGAAGATATTTTGTTGTTATTGAGAAGTTAGTAGAGATGATCCTGGATATACAGGAGTTCAACAGGGAAAGAGATGAGAGAAGAGTGTACAAGCATGTACAAGAGTCCTGCGGCTGGAGGAATTGACCTGTATATGAAACCAAAAGAAGGACAATGTGCCTGGAGCCATTAAAGAAGATGGGAAAATGGTACACACTGACACCAAAGAATACAAATGACCACAGGGCATGTGGAATAGTGTTTTTTATTTGTTTGTTTTTTGTTTTTATCCATAGAGCAGTGGGGAGGTCATCAAAGGGTTTTAACCTGGAAAGTAACACATTCAGATTTGCTATGAAAAGATGACTCTAGCTATGTCACAGAAAATGTATTGTAAGGGAAGTAGTTACTATGGTAGCTTAGACTACGTTGAAGTTGATAGAGATGATGAGTAGTGGATATATTTAAGTGAGTTTTAGAAAAATAAAATGACAAGACTCAGTGCTGAGTGGGATTGGCACAGTAAATCAGAGGGATTTATCAAAGATGATTCCTACCTCCTGGCTTTGATATGTGAATGGATATTAGATCATTCGCTGATAGCATTACTGATGGTATTTGCTTGAAAAAGACCAAGATAATTGTGGGTATATTCTTGGACATATTTGGTGCAGGTGACTTTGAGATACTTTAGAGAGAGTGGCAAATAGGCAGATGGATATCTGGGTGTGAAACAAAGGAACAGTCCAGGCTAGGAAAATGATATTTGGGATTCATCAACTTAGAGATGGTAATTGAAGGTATAAGCAAGAGTTGGATTGCCTAGAAGAGGGTAGAGAGGAAGAGAGCCAAAAATGGAACTGTAGCTCCATCAGCCAGCAATTAGGTACAGAGGCTGAACCTAAAACAGAAATAGGAAAAGAATTAATAAGTAAGTAGGAAAAATGCAAAGAAAGTGTTGTATCACAGAATTCAAAGAGTGTTTTGAGAAGGAGGATATGTCCAAATCTGCTGAGAGGTAAGGAAGAAGAAAAGTGGAAGTGTCCATTCAATTTAGAAATGCACATTACTGATTACATAAATGAGAACAATTCTGGTGAAGTCAGGGGATCAAATGCCAAACTGAGGTGAATTGAGAAGCAATTTGAAGAAAGTGGCTGTAGAGGGGAAGACAAGAGAACGCAATATCTGAACAGAAAAGGGGATTCTTTCTGCTGCTCTTAAAACATAAAAGAGACAAGCATGCTTAAAAGTTGATGGAAAGTATCCAGTGAAGAGGGAAAGAAGTTCTGGAGCAAGCCAGAGGGGGTAGAATTCAAAGTGTTAGGCAGTAGGGACACCTCCACTGAAATGAGAAGGAATGAGGACAGGAGAGATGCAAACATAACTTTGCTTGCAATTCGGAAGATACCTTGTTGTTTCTGAGGAGATAATAAAATTGTTTTGTGAAGGCTTTTATTTTCTTTGCCAAGTCAAGGTCCTCTTCCTGGGGAGAGGGAAGAATGGCTTAGAGGATGAGAATTTTTGGAAAATGAAGGGAAGCAGAAAGCAGAATGGCAGGACATTCCCATCTCAAGTTTTTAATGACTGTCTTCGTTGGCTTCTTATTGGGTATACCTTGATTTCAAATTAGGAAGTGTTTCCTTGAACTAATATCAGGTTCCTTTGGAAAGATTATTTTGTGTCTCATTGAGACTTCTCTCCTCATGTTCATGCTTTCTCTGTCTCCCTCGCTACCCCCCTCCCAGATGCGCACCCAGACTCACCGCATTATACCACCACACCATTCAATCCTTTGAAAACTCAATGCTATGTGAATATTGCTCTTAAAAATCAAGCTACTGCCACAAATTTTACAGCTAAAATCACAGCAGAATTTAGTTCCCCGCTAACAAGGAACCTTAAAAAACCACTGTCTGACATTTGCTAGATCTGTACAAAGACCTCCCTGGAGTGTTGTTGTCTTTGTTTATCACAACTGAACTTGCAGCAGAGGCATGGCCTTAATCCAAAGCCTGCACAGCCTTTACAAAGCCCCTATTAAAACTACAAAGAAAAAAAAAGGCAGCCAAGAATTCTTCTCTTACTTTTCCATACATTTCATGTGAGTGCCCAAGAAACCCATGTGAGAGCTGTTTTAACTTCAGTGTGTTCCAGAGGGATTGAGATTATATGAAAAAAAATGCATGACAGGTAAAGTGCTTAAAAACTAACATCTGTATGAGTGAATCTCGGGTTCACATTGATTTGTAGCTTCCAGTCAGGGAAATTGCAGACTGAATCATACCAAGATTCTCCTTGTCTTAGGCACTAACATTTGCAGAAATGGCTTCCTTTCTATAGAACATTACTGGCCACAGAATATTCACCATAACAATGCAATATGAAAGTGATCTTGGTAGATTTCATTCTTAGCATTCAAATTAAGAGAAATCTTCTAAATATAAAAGGAAGGAGAATGTTCCCTCCTATTTCATCAATTGCTATAAAATTCATGAAGCCCTGTCTGGCTTGGGCCTTCTATCTACTGACAAATGTAATTAAAATTAGACTTGAGAAAAAATAGGAATGGAAATGTCCAAGTATAAGGATGCTGCCACTGAAAATTGGTTTCTAAAAACAGCATCGATTAGAAAGGAAGTACAGAGAAATGAGAAATCTGCTGCCAATAGTGCATCTCCAATTATATAAAATATTGCAATCAAAGGCTCGTGAGGTTAGGAAGACTTTTATTAAATAATGCAATTAAAAGCTAATAAGTTTAGCATTCCACCTATACACAGAAAGGGTATTTGATGTATTAGCTTTCTAGTGCTGCTGTAACCAGTGGCTTGAGACAATGCAGATTTATTATCTCACAGTTCTTTTTTTTGTGAAATTGTATTTATTTATTTGAGATAGAGCGAGAGCAAGAGAGAGAGACAGCACGACTTGGGGGGGAGGGGAGGGGAGAGGGGCAGAAGGAGAGGGAGAAGCAGGAGAAGCAGACTCTCCACACAGTAGGGAGCCCAACTCGGAGCTGAGTCCCAGGACCCCAGGATCATGACCTGAGCCGAAGGCAGACGCTTAACCGACTGAGCCACCCAGGTGCCCCTCTCACAGTTCTATAGTTTAGAAGTCTGACACGGGTTTCACCGGGCTATAATCAAGGTGTCAGCAGGGCGGTGTTTCTTCTGGAGGTTCTGAGGGGACAATTTGTTTCCCTGCCTTTTCCATCTTCCCACACTCCTTGGCTTGGGGCCCCTCCATCCATCTTCAAAGCCAGCAGCATAGAATCTCTCTAACTCCAGTTTCTATCATGTCTCTGTCACTGACCTCACTTCTGCCACTTGTAAGGACCCTGTGATTACAACGGGCCCACCTGAGGCATCCAGGATTACTTCCCATCTCAAGGTCTTTAAGTTAATCACATATGAAAAATCCCCTTTGCCGCAGAAAGTAACATAGTCACAGGTTCCGGAGATTAGAATGCTGACAGTTTGTGGGGGGTGGGCATTATTCTTCCTACCACACTTGGGAAAGTGGAAGGGCATGTTTTTAAAAGAAACATATCACTGCCGGGCTTCTGTTTCCTAAGCCTATCGTGTTCAAGGAGGAGATAAAAGAAATTTTAAGGATTTTTCCCCCCATAACTGTGCAGTTCATCAGATCATCAGACCACTCATTTTCAGTGACAAGAATGCTAAATAAGAACAGGAGTCCTTTGGCAGAATGAAACAAACTCAGAAGACAGGGAGTGATGATTGAAAAGCTACTGGGGATGCCCACAGGATCATACGTCTCCTTTCCAGGAAATTACAGCAGTAGACAGAGAAGACATGGGCCATAAAATGGTAATAAAAATGTATTTTAATTAAATTATTCCACAATAAAACTAAAAGGAATCTAAAAACAACAGCTGATTATTATCCTCATCATGTGTCTTGAATGGCTCATGCAAGACATTATTCTGAGATGAGAACTGAGATGGTTACAAACCATATTACCCTGGCTCTCTCTCCTCTATGTCTCTCTCTCTTTCCCAATCTCTCTCTCTCTACCTCTTGACCCTCTTGCTCTGCTATCTTCCCTTTCATCCTGCAGGAATTATGACTTGAGTGGAGACTCTGGTGCATCTGCTCATTACCTTTGAAAGCACAGGAAATCAGTGGACTTCACATCGCTGTGGGTTAAAATTGGTATCAGGCGACCTGTTGCTTTAGCTGCTCTTGTTCTATCTTCAAGAACAGTGTCAGATGTCAAAAGATACTACTGCCAGGAAAGATGGGTTTCCAAGAAACAATAATTTTCACATTTTTGTCATCATAATCTAGAGCCGAAGGAAATAACTTTCATAGTTTTGTCATCATCATCTAGATCTCAATTTGCTTTTTAAAAAATCTACAGAACAAATAAGCATCCACATTTTTCAAATAAAAACCAGTGGCATGTGGTCTAACAAAGGATGTTTCATTATTTATAAATTTAAATGAAAGGTGTTACAAGGTCATAAAAAATAAATTGCACTTAGCTACATATTGAATAAATTTACTTTATGGGGAAAAATGAAATTATAAGAAATCAAGGCTGTCCTGGAAAACCCAGGATGCATGGTCACCATTATTTATACCAGGTGGTTCAGAATGCTCTTTGGTTGTAAAACCCACGATTTATTTTGTGCGGTGTCTGTCAGTGCCTCAAAAGCTTCAGGGAAAAAAAAAAGTCTTTTCATTCCATGTGAAATCATGTGAACTGAGTATTTGGCCTGCTTAATTATCCCAAGAGTCTGGTTCAGTAGTTCAGTGTCTGGCCCACTAAATGCTCAATAAATGTAGACTGAATAAATGAACAAATGCATGAACAATTTAAGATTAGCCATATAGAAAGCAGGCCAAGTTTCATTTCTGCCAAGACTGAGTAAAAAGCTCACCAGATCTATCTGGAGGAATGACTTCTCAGTACATCTAGTCCCATAAGGATAGACACATTTATAATGAATAACTGATGACTAATTTAATGGATTTCATCAAGGTGTATCAACTTGTTTTTTTGTTTTTTAATAAAAGTTCTTTGTCAAGCCTCCATTCCCTTTGGATTTCAGGCTCCCAAGTGGTATCTCAGTCCAATTTCCTAAATTTTCAGACTGATTTTGGTGCTGTTTAAAAACCTCAATCTCAGTTTCGAGTCACAGCTCATTCCTTGTACTATCCAAGACAGGGCAGACAGATATTTCCATGGCTTGGAAGGGGAGGTGAGAGGGAGTGGATAGGGCGTTCTCTCTCCTACCATTCCTCATCGCCTTTGCTATCATTGCTCTTCTGGGATTGGAGCAAGGATGAAGGAGAGGAAGGAAGATGTTCTGCAGGTGATGGCTCATAGTAAGTTGGCCTCTCTCTTTTGCCAAGAGACTGCTGTCTGGCCCTCATTTCCTTCTCTCCATCACATGTTGACTTCCTATTGGGAGACATGTATGGACTCTCAGGTGGGACTTCCAGGGGTTTCTCCTGCCTAACTTCTTGATGTTGGGTATCTGACTGGGCCTTAGTTTCTTCCTCCTTGCCTCAGGCCTGGCCCAGGTGATCCACCCACATCCTCTTACTGTTGGGCTTCCTTTACCCAATGGGTGGCACATGGAAGGGGGTAGGGATTGAGAAGAGCTTAATGTTCAGTCACCTACTCACCTTCAGTCAGAGTCCACTCACATATCCTGGTCATACCAAATGTGGACATGCAGGCTTCACTGTGGATCTTCTCCTTCGCCTCTTTCATAGCTCTCTGGTCCCTTCCTCCATGCTCAAGCCTAAAGAACAGATGATCTATCAATTCAGTGGCTCAGCAATTTCTAGTAGATTATTCTCAGTCCTTATATATGGGGTGAGGGAAGGCAGCTTGGGCACTCCCAACCTTGTGGGAAGATAGGAGAACAAATCACATAATCCTTTCTTCTTGGGGATGGAATAGCTTCCACTGTATACAATCCACATTTCCTTAAGAAATGATATCCTACCCTCCTGCAGATTTATTTTATACATGTGGGATAAGAAAAGGGTAGGTATGTTCATTCCATTAAACTGCTGTGCTTGGCTTCTCCTGGGGAGAAGTGGCTGGACTCCTAGATTGAGATGTGCTGCACTTAAATATTAAAGTAACTAGTGCCTGTTATTCTCACTTGTAGCCACGAGTACAGTGATCCCTGAAAAACAGAATCACAATTAGAAAAAGCTTGCCATGTGGCCAGGCTTTATTCTTAATATAATACTCTACATAGAGCAAGCCATTTTTCTCCCTACAGAAAGTCTAGGAATGAGCTATCAGTATGTCCATTTACAGTAAATTTTACAGGTGTAGATTAGTAGATCACTAGTACATCAGGTGTACCAATATGTGCCTAAGAAACAGGTTAGATTTTTAAACTTAATTTGGCTGATTTATAGTAATTTGGAAGATATTATTTTAATCATCTTACAATATGGTGAAATCAGCAATGTTATGATTCCCATGTACAATAACTTGTCCAATTTCATCAAACCAGTAAGTGTTAGAATTAGAACTAGGTGTTCTAATTTCATGCCCAATGTTCTTCCTTGATTCTGTGCTGTTAATAGGACATTCTATCTTTCCACTTGTTAAAGTTCAGGTCCAGTATGTCTTCTATTCCCGGACAATGTCTATGCCTGTACCAAGATGTCTATGGAAAGCCACACAGACAAAAAATAACAGACAACTGAGTTCATTCACAATGAGTTCATTCAGAAAAAAAAAAATTTATTCTGTGAAGCTAATTCATGAATAAAATACTGCAGTTGTCACAACATGAAATATTCTTGGGCTTCGGTAGATAGCTCTCTGATGTTTCCACTTGGACCATCTCCATGCAAAGGGCAAGCAACATGTGTGTTGGTGGTGCAGTGGTGAGCATAGCTGCCTTCCAAAGGCCAAGCAACTTAAATTATTGAAGAGCAAGGCTGCCTGGACTGCAGAGGAAATCCCATTTGATGTGCAAACATATTCACCCCATAGTTTTCAAGATTTGGAAATACCTTTTCCTATATCTTAAAGTCACAAGGCTATTATATTCCAGAGGATTTTGTAATCCAGTAAATACTCTGTCTATACATTTACCATTTATAAGGTAGAAAAAGGGGCACTGAAAGTGGTTCAGATAGCATTTGAACCACTTTGGAATACTGGTGCCGAAAAATGAACTATTGGGAATTCATTAAGATAAAAAGCTTTTGCACAGCAAAGGAAACAGTCAACAAAACCAAACGACAACTGACAGAATGGGAGAAGATATTTGCAAATGACCTATCAGATAAAGGGCTAGTATCCAAAATCTATAAAGAACTTACCAAACTCAACACC